AATTTTAAAACTTTAAATTGAATTTAAATTATATTGAATTTAGAAAATTCAATACTGTGTAACTATCATTATTAGTAATGTATTAATTCCAATTAAAATTACCATGTTAGCAACGAAGTCGGATGGTATCCGTCTTCTCCATTATACTCATTGTAAATATAATCATTGTAACATTCATCATTTAACTGAATATTTATACTTTATTTATTGTGTGTTTATCTTTGCAAATAATCATATTGAATATATATTAATTACATAAATGAATATTTTCTGTAATTTTCAATCACAGATATACATGTAACATTATTCTTATAAATTCTTGTAATATTGTACTATTATGTTAATATTATATTTATATTCATTATTATTATTATATAATTATTATTACATACTATTATTATTATATTAACAATAAAAAACGCGATGTGCAAGAAAACCTATCCTGAACTAATAAATAAAACACAAGTAAAAAAATGTTACTACTCACAGCTATAATAAATAGCCATGGTCACTATGCTCGTCAAAAATTCTATGTAATACAACTAGTCACTAGTGTCGATTCGGACCTTTCATCCTACGACATGATTGAGTGACTAGAGGAACAGAAAAGCATGCGACTCACGATTAGATGCGAAGAATGTTGTCATGACATTGGTCTAAGAAGAGTGGTCTAAAAAGTCATCATGAAGCCCATTTGTCAACAGGAATCGTCGAATGAAAGAAATGAAAGCTGAAAAAAATCAGAACGCAACATGTTATAATCTATTTTAGTTTTAAATATAATTTTAATTAATTATAAAGTTTGAAATAATGAAAGATAGATTTTTACTAAACGTAAAATTTTAATAGTAATACTCAATTCAAGAATCAAAAACTTAAACTTGTCAAATATTCAATTAAATTCTATTTTTTATTTAATAAGAATTTATCTAAAATAAATGACATAGAATTGAAATATAAAATATACTAATTGAAATATAAAATATAAATAATTACTTACACTCTTGGCTTTTGATGCATTATCACATCCTTTCCAGAGAACGAAACAAAAGGAAGGAGTAAAAACCTTTAACAAAATACAAATTATTACAATGAAATACAATGATGATTGTTCAAAAAATTTCAGACAGTGAAATTTGATATTTTAATAATAAAAAAATTGAAACCAAATTTTATTTTTTAATTAATAATGAAGCAAAAT